AGTTTCCTTCAGCTAGTTATTGGGAACCAAAATAAAACAGGGAACAACTTATACCCCACCTTTCTCCAAGCTGCTTTCTTCTGAGACCACAGTAGGATGACAATACTATCACCATTTTCCGTTGAAAGCCCAAAACTGTCCCATCTTTTCCAAACTTCAAAACAGAGCATGACTCTAATCTAGCATGTAACTCTTTTTGTAAAAGTGGTAGTATTTCTTTCAGGTAATTTTTAAGGTAACTTCTCTGTCCTCTATCCAGGAGCCACTCTGGCCATCGCATTCACACCACCTGAGCTGGGACTGAGGCTGCTTTGCAGCTTCACAGCCCACACTCACAGTCAGACCAGGTTTCCTTATCAGCTTGACCCCAGGTTTCCCACAGAAGTCTCAGTCATCCAAATCCTTCAAGTAATTTAATCTTGGTGCAATAACTAAATAACAAAATAACAGCTCTATCTGGTGCCTCTGAGGAGGGACCCTGAACAAAGGACACCCTGGGCCTTTATACCCTCACAGTCTAAGGGTGCCAAAGTCTGGGGATCGTTGACTCCTACCATGTCTCTGGGTATCCGGTCCCCTGGCTGGGCCACACGTCCCAGCACCCTGTGTTGTGCAAAGGGTGGGCAGTTCAGCTCTCACCACCAAGGGCTCAACCTGCAGCTCTCACTGCAGCTGCACATCAAGCTGCCTGCACTGAATGTATTCCTCAACATAATTTTCTTCGCATATTTCACTCTCAACAGTTGAATCAGCTGACAGCAGCATTAATTGACTTTTATTAGACCCTATATGTACACATTTTTACCTAGGAGAATAAATAATTAAACTTCCTTTTTCTTTTCTCCCTCCCCAATCAGACTACATGTGTAATTAAAGCAAAACAAATGCACAAGGTTTAAGTCCCCATTTAGCACCAATTTTTCATGCCACAATTTAGATTTTGGATCAAACACAGTAAGGACTTGAATAAGGAAGATTTTGATCAAAAAGCACGCTAATATCTGCTTTTCCCATATCCGTTCTTCAAAATAAAAACATATCTAGATATTATATTTTAATAAAACAATGTATTCTAGCAAAGCTGTATTTCCCTGAAAATGTGCATTGAAGACTGATTGATAGATAAATATACCCCAAATATATTCTCTATTTTAAAACAGCAAAAGAAAATTAAATTTTCTAAATTTTTAATTTCTGACTTCTTAATTTTTCTAATTAAAATTGAAATACATGCTCTTTTCTGACTGGTAGTTTTGTGATTCTTGAGCTGCAGTCAACATACACTTTGGCTGTCTTTTTATGGTTAAAAAATACTCATAAATGCTCACTGATTTTCAGAAATGCCAAGAATGTGTTCAGACTCTGTAAACACAATTATCTTGGAATCTGTGCACCACAAAAGATAATGCTTCTATAATTTCTGGGTTAAACTTGAGTTCTTTATGTGTGCAGGCCAGAAAACAACTGTTTTAGAGTAATTTCAGTCAACAGCAGGTAACAATGTGTGTCTCTACCAATATTTGAGGATAGCCCTGAAAACTTTTAGGTGAATGGCAGTTAAAATACACTGTGCACCTGAAGAAATGGGTCTCCTTTTTTTTTTTTTTTTAAATTTTTCTCATGAAACTGATAGAATGAAAATCTCCCTATCACTTTAAAAGATAAAAGCTATGAAATGCCATTCACTATTTGGGAGATATTTCATCTTCATGGAAAAACATCCATTGGACAAGTCTGGTCATCTGTCACAATAAATGCATTCAAGTATTCTACAATGATAGCAGATAAGTTAGAAAGTCTTTATTTTACAGGAAATTATGAGTATGATAACTAATGTCACTAAGAGTAACAAGTGGAATAAAACAATAAAAACTAACAGAGAATTAAGACTTAATTGCTAAAGCAAGCAAGGTCACCTTTTATCATGCACTATACTCCTATATTGCCTTTTGAGTTATATGCCAATGTTTCACCCATGGTTCTACTGCCAAGTTTTAATTAGCTACTGTTCTGAGCAAAGCTGGCAAAGAGAATTCTAAACTTAATTTACCACTCTAAATAAGTGAGCAAATTCAAAATATTGTCCAATTCATTAGCAAAGCTTTAATCCCATAACTGTCATGCATGTGCAATTAAATTTGGCATGAAATAAACAAAGTGCCACGGTGTGTCAGATTTAAATTCCCTTCTTTAATACTGGATGTTAAAAAAATGCAGGTAAACATTCAAAACCAAAATAACACTTTTAATGAACTGCATCATGATCTTTATAAAGAAAAAAAAATGAAAAGCCATTAACAATTAGTTTTTAATTGTATCTCTCCACGTCATCTTAATTAGTAGCAGATTATCTTTTTTTTGTTTGGCCTATTAGTTTCTCAGCATGATTGGTTTTGGTTTATACTATTGCAAGATAACTCCTTCAGACTGGTTATAATTCAGTTATTTAATTACAGTACATTGCTCCAGCCAGTAGCAATCTCAAGAAAACTAACCATCATACTAAAGTTGTTTTACATTAAAGTACACATTGAAGGTATGCTGTGATTTTTTCTGATATTTTATTGAATATCTAAATCATATTACATATTATGAGCTAACTGAAGAGTTCAATTCAATAACATCAGAATAATAATAATTATTAAGTTCTACTAAAGATGGATGACATAATTATCATTAAACCTGTTTTTGATTTGTTCACATGCTACATACAGTAGAATGGTCAGGTTGCCTTTAAAAAATGTATCTATGGAAGCTGTATATAGCTCATGACAGCACCAAATGAGTTCAAAAATACATAAAAAAAACCCAAACCAAACAAACATAAAAAAACCAAAACAAACCCCATCAACAAACTGTAAATGTTCATCCAGGGAACACAACTACAACAGAAAGGGATGCTGGGAACATGGTCTATAGTATACAGTATTGGATAAGCATAGCAATTCTGTTCAGCCTCAGAAGGGCAAAGGCTGCTTTTGCATGCATTCTAATGTGCCAGTACAGGAAACAAAGAGTGTAGCTTTGGAAGGGATGAAGTTTACCTCTGGCTCTACCCCTTGCAGAAGTCATTCCAAGCAGCTTGTAGGATATTTCTCACATAAAATGCTGAGTTGTATCAAAAGTAAGTGGCATGAGTAGAGGAACCTTTAAGTCTCCCCTTGACAATAGCATTTGAGCAGCAAGAACTAATGCAGGAAGGAACGTGTTATAGGGCTTTCCTGTCCAGGAAATGCTACAGGGAGAGTGCTGAAAGATGCGCTTACTAGGAAGTGTAAAAAAACCATGGTTACCAAGGGCCTGATAAAGAGCTAGTGGAGTTGGTTAGCAGAAGCAAACCTGTATTTTGATGATGCTGACACAGATGAGTACTTTGCTACTTCCATCCTCCTTTGCCCTCCTTCTAAAACTCAGGTCAAAGAAGGAATAGGAAATTCCTAGAATTTCAATCCTATTTCAATCTATACTCCATCAAAACAAAATGATAATTCTTTGATGCAGTGGACCTGGAGCTAGTATTTTACCTTAGCAAATGAAAAATTTAATGATTCCTTTCTTCTACATTATTCCTCTCTGCAGGAGTAAAATAATGTCCAAGGAGAACAACACCCTTGATTACTGCTATAACTGTTTATCATATACTAATAGTTAGGTGGAATTCAGCTCACTGTAAACAATATTCTAAGGTTAGAGGTTAGATGTCACTTATTAAAAACAGTATTTAAACTCTTTATACATTGAACCTGGAGCAGGGTCAGCATTCTTATGCACAGGAAGTAAAGCAACCACATACATTCTAGTGATAACCTAAATATATATGTAAATGATGATATCACAAATGACAGTTCAGTTAGAGCAAAATGTTCTTATATAGACAGACTTAACTGGTTACACTGAAAAGTTTAGTAAAAGAGAAGCAAAAAACTTTAGTATTACCCAAAGAATTACTGTAAGTAACCAAAACCTGTGTAAATTATCTTCATGAATGACACTGAAGAGTAATCTCGGCATTCATCAGAAAAGGGCATGGATATGAAATCTCGTCTTCTGGTAGAAGAGGAAAAATATATGCTAGATGTTCTTTACAGTTCACAACCACATGCTACTCCAAACTCCACTGCTATGTAATAAATAGAGTTCACAGTTGAAACTCTCACCTCTTACAACCAGTAACAACAGTGATTTAGCTCTAAGTGTGCTTTTCATAAGAGATCTTTATACAGATTTCTGAGTAACATGATTCTCTTGTTATAAACGCAGAAACTAACACACAAATGAGGTGACTTGCCCAGGGTCACACAGCTCTTTGACAACAGAGACAGGTATACAGATAGCAGTCATTTCTTCAGTGCTCCTCACACAAGAGGAATATCAGACTGTTTCAGATTAGGTTTGGCTATGATAAACTCATACTGACATGCCAAAAATAAAGAGTTTTATCGCTTAGTCCATATATCTATGTACTTGGATCCAGCAAATCTAACTCTAATAACAGAATTAATGTTGTTTTCACACATTTGACACCTTATCCACAGTGTAGCGGAAATGCCATTTTTTTCTGTAGCACATACAAACACAATATATTTTCCTGAAAAAGTATGACAACCAAGAGTAACCTTTTCTTCTCAAGTAGAGCCTTTGACATCATTATTATGTAATGCTATTATGAGGTAGCCTGCTGTATCATTCAACAAAGAGCATGTTTTCTCAGAAAAAACTAATAGTACATTAGTCTTTCATGTTAACCAAGTCACAAGAAATTCCATACAGTATTTAATGAATTTATATTATAGGAGATAAAGAAATCGGAGCAAAGGACAAGGCTCAGAAAACTATTTTAAAAGCCCTTTCAATTGTAGCCAGTGGAAAGGGTAGATACAATATGACAATGCTGACTTACTTTTGGCTAAGAGACTTAAAACATAAGCAGGTTTCACCACTGCTTATTTCAAACCATCAGAAACCACCACTGTGTTCTTTAAGTTCACTTCTTGTTTTTCTGAATTTAGTAACAGTGGTACTATATGATTACAAATTGATGTGTGAGCAGGTAACAGGTTGAGATCCTCTGCACTTGGAACAGCTGAAACGAGATACCAAGGTTTCCTCCTCCCCAAGCAGTGCACAACCAAACCTGAGACAAAAGATAGAATGGAAACTATGAGAAGTGTTTCCTGCCTACTAAGTAAAATAAGAGTCCTCAAATTATATATCCCCTATTAAATTCATTTAAGACATTTCTGCATTTCCCCAACTACATAAACTCAAGATTTCTAGAAATATTTCTCATGCCATCCTATGAAGCTTGAGATGTCCAGGAAGACAAAGCATGACACCCATGGCACCCCAAACTCCCTGCTGGTTCTGTCTTCTTACAAGTCTTGGCATAGAATGCAGCTGCTGTAGCAAATGTCTTCTTTCCCTCAGTGCAGTCACTGCTCCTTACAGCACTGGTTTGCATGGGTACCAGTGATGAGTTGAGTGTAACCCATTCCCCACTTTTCACAGCTTTTCAGGTCTGGACATAAGTAACTAGGTTGGAATGTAATACTGCCATAGATTTAAAAGCAAATAACAGAACCAACAACATATTTCACAATCAGCTAAATCTTTGTAGATCTCAGTACCTAGAAAAATAAGAGAGCCATGTAGATAATGATTCCATAACTGAATATTTTCTTAGAATAGTTTTTTCCACATATAATGGGATCGTATTTTTTAACTGATGAAAATGCCTGTAGCTATTGCCATACTTAGAAATTATATGCAAGATCTCACACTCTTTGGATCACAAAAGAGTGATTAAATCAAAGTCCTTTGTTTGACTACCTTCTCCATAAAAGGAAACATGCCCATCCTCCATAAAAATAATTCTCCATCCAGGATTAATAATCATAACATTTATAATAATAGAAACAAGATTTTCATTACTGATATACTGGACGCAAAATAAGTAGGAATTTATAACTGTCCCACTAAAACCTTGAACCAATAGTGAGTGGGATATGACCTAGTTAACAGCTGAACCAAAACCACAGCAGAATATCCAGGGCCCTATTTCTCTTTGCTATGAAATCATGAACAAATACTAATGCTGAAGCAAATGGACTGATGAAGAAAGGGAGTATGAGATTCTGATCCACAGTAGCTGATTAGGAGATGTTTTGGCATCAGTTCCCCTTCAAAGGGCTTCAGTTCATCATCTTCCTCCAGTTGCTATCAAAAAAAGCAATTACACATGGAAAACTATAGAAGAACAGACTTGTTTTTAAGGTATCAGAGATGTTTTGACATCAGTTCTAAAAGAAACACGCACAAAAAATACAAAGCTGTGTAAAAAGACCTACTTGGTTTAATGTTTCATTACAAACTGGGAACTCAGCCGACATTAACTGAAAGGTTCACATACTTTTTTATGAACTTGGGCCAACATATGTTATGGTTTCACATCAAAACCAGCCAGAATTTGTGGGTTTTGCATGATTGCAGTGTGAAATTGGGTGAAACCAGTATTTTGCTTGGAGTTCTGAGATCCAGCTAAATCCAAACACAAACCAAAATTCAATGAACGTAAAGGCAAGTAGATTAAAGTCTTTTAAAAAAATGTATAAACCCATCAAGTTTTGCACAGCTATGAATGGCACCTCTTTTTCAGATCATCCAACACTGATCAAGTGTCAAGGAGTGAGTTCCGAAGTCTTTCAGTCTTTGAAGAACCTGTATTCATTAAGCTCTGAAACAGCTAATTTGAAACTAGTGTAAGTATATTTTGTGGACACTACTTAAGTTGCAGTGTTACTTTCACAGACTTTTCTTAAATTGCTTGGAAAAGAAATTGAGCTGAATTATATAAGGATTTCTTACATCTAACTGGGAATGTTAACAACCCCTGCCCCTAATTAAGACAAAAGTTTCTAAAGTTAGCAAAGTTAATGTAACTTCTTCCAGGCAAGACGCGAATACAAGGGAACAGAAAAACTAGAATGTGATTAAGAGGAAGAGACAGGCTTTGATTCTCCAGTGCTTAGTACCTTGTGTAGACACTTATACTTTTTAAGGAAGGATAGTAAAATGGCAGTACAATTATAATAAATCAAAAGGGCAGGACCTTTTGTCCTTTTATAATTTTATCTGCAGAGAACAGTAATGCAAGATTCAGGATAGGAAAAAACTCAGTTTCATGCTGACAAAGTCATATGTTTCAAATCCTGGTATACTACAAAGAAGTATTCTAAAACCTTTCCAGGGATACAGAAAGAGGAATACCTGCATACAAAATGAAAAATGGAACTTATTTGATCCAATTGATTAAAAAAAACAAAACAGCATTACTACTGAGATTGCAGAAAAACAGTAGCTCTCAAACTGAGTTTACATGTGAGATCTGAATAAGTGCTAGAGACTGGTACATAACTCCTTTGTCAAGTTAAGAGAATTGTGATATAAAGGCAACACAAGTTATGTGATTTAGGTTAGTTACTGACAAATTTTTAGCTCCATTAAATATCTTCTGGATTAACTGAGGTTTAATTTAGGCTGTTAATCCATTTTAAAACCAAACTCCTAACCCACTCTAAAAATTAAAAGTATTTATTGTCTCATGTTGGTCAATCTGCATTAAGAAGTCAACTACGATTTACTTGCTATCACTGTTCACACCTGTATTTAAGGGGTAAGTACCAGATAAGGAGAGAACAGGTTGAAGCAAATATAAATTAGATGTTTTCAGAGGCCTCATTTTAAAGTACTATATCAAACTGCCAATGAAATCTCAAAGCCATTAGTCGTGGCAAAGAGGAAAGGTACTTTTAAAAAATGAGAAAATAAGGACAGAAATGTAAGGCAAATGGCTTAAGTTCAATATTCAGAAAAACACTGGGATAGATTAAACTATTGATAAACAGGTGAAAGGTAACATTCAGAACAGATCTGTTAATAATACCAACCCAAAACCACAAAAAAAAAGTGAATTATAATGTATTTCTACAATGTACTGTACTTCTGTCCAACACTGCTGCCTGGAGCGGTGTTTAGTGATACTTTGTTAGGTTACCACAAATAAGAGAGGAGAAGTAAAATTAAACTTCTCATTTTTCCTGCTAGTGACCCTTTACTTCAGAACTTTATTTTCAGCTCTCCACACCTTTCTTTTCAATAGATATTATTGCTAATAATAATACATGCATATTGGTTTGTGCTGAGACTGATTAACATTAACATTAGTCAAAAAGGATATGGACAGACGAAATGAAGTAAACCTTATTCAAGCCAACCAAAATCTACCCCAAGCAATATACTAAAAATATATCACCATTATTTCTAATGTTTATTAAGCACTACTCAAAAATTTATACTGAAACAGGTTTGCCATTTTGCTTCCACAGTGCTTCCTGTACTTGTACAAGTTTGTAACCATTTGTCAGACACACTGGTATTAGGGAAAAAAACATGAAATCATAAGGGCTATCTGAGTGTCTTCCACCACAAGTCTGTAATAGAGTACAAAAACCCACATTTACTCTTTTAATCAGGATTTCATAAAGCCTGTATACTCTGTAGCTTCCTCTTAATTTCTGGAAGTCTTGTGGTTGTTTAAGACAAGCAGCACTGAGATCTCCTTGTGGAACAAAGAACTTCCCATACACCATCAGTCACAGAACTGGGCCCAAAGGTACATCAATTAACTACAGTCATTACAACTTGCAAATTTGTAGGTATAAATATTTTGTAATGATGAAGCTGATCTCATCCTGACACCTCCAAATAGAAACAACAAGAACTCAACAATCAGAAAGAGCCAGAGTTGGTACTACCTCTCACTCCTTTGTTTTCAACTACCAAATGAGCCTACTTTTTTCAGGATTTAAAGATGAGACTTACAGAATCATCACCAAGATTTAGTTTATATTTGCATACCACACAGTCTTATATAGTAACACAACAATATTCAGATCCTGAAAATAAAATGGATACATTTAAAGTTGCTCACAAAACTCCCACATGATCTAATTCACCTTCTCAAATGCCTTTGCATGAGTAGTCTCGAAGTTCTCTGAAAGAAATAACAAGCACCTTGCCAAGACGGATCTGACTGACAGTCACCTGGTTCATCTAAATGGCTTTTGCCAAGTTCCTTTAACAAGAGATGATAAGGGATCTAAGTATCCATGAAATAAAAGAGGTCTATGCACTGAAAATTATGTGGCTAAAACTCAGGGAACAGAGTCATAGTGGAGAAAAGAGGAAAATCTATAGCTTTAATACAAGATCTGGGAGGAGGAGAGAAAGAGGTTGAATAGCAAAGTGCCAAAGTTACCAAGAATATTAAGCTATTTTGAGTAGAAAACAGTTTGAAGATAAGCCTTATAGGATACAGACAGCTGGAGGCAGACAGCTAAATTCAGTGCTGGTAACTGTATATTGGATACACATTATATAAAACCGTCCTAATTCCACGAATAAAATAATGGGATCTACAACGAACATTGCCCCTAAAGAAATTAAATATTAAGATTATAACTAACTATTATCTGAAAATTTCAGCTTACTGTTCAACTGCAATCAGAAAAGCAAGATGAAGATATTAATTATGGTTAGAAATAGAAAAATAAAATGTAACTGCCATTATTGGGAACAACTTTCATTATTACATCGTATAGGTGTAACAGAGCTAATAGCTTTAGATCATTTCTTTTAGTACTGGTTCCTTGTGCCACATGGTGTACCTTTTGTCCCCCTCTTAGCTTTGCTCCCCATTTATATGGAATCTTCCTTCTACAATGCTAGCAAATATCAGCATCAAGCTTTAAGTCTGGGCTTACACAGGCTTGATATACACTAGTTCTCTAGACCCTGGATACCAGTCACAAGCACTTTTCTGTACGTCAGTTGTATCATACTCTCAGAGAACATTTCCATGGCGCTTTGCCTATGGGCAGTTTGGCCCACTGATTTATGTTTACAGGAACATCCATATTCCAATGAATAAAGCTGAAAATAATATTCCATCTGCTTTCTCCTCAAAACAAAAACAAAATAGAAAAAAAGGGAGTGGGAAATGAGCACATGGCTTGTTGACTAGGCCTTGCTGCCATCCGTGCATTGACAGGATTTACTCAGACAACTCTGCAAAATGAAAAAAAGGTATTTCTGGTGAAACACTGTGATTTGTTTTCTAAGTGCTGTATACTCACTTCCAAACTGTGCAGTGTGAGAGATATTCTAACCAGTATATATTATGGAAAGATTGGTTCACTATGAAAAATATTTCCAGTGACAAAAATGAGAACATTGGTCATTTTGTACTGTATTATGCAGCTCTGTTTTTACACTTTTACTTCAAAGCAGTCAGACAATGAAAACAAGAGAAGCACTCAGATTACTTATGTTAAGGGAGATGGGAAGAAGAAAACCCATTTCCTAGTATCAGCCCAAAGAACTTAACATAGTAGAAGTTTGTGGAGACAAAATTCTGCTCCCTCCTTCAATGGAGAGAAAAGTAGCATTGCTTCTTCCATAAAATGTAGACACCATGATATCCCTGCAGACATAGAAATTTAGTCTGCCCTTGAACCTCTCCCTTGTCAAAGTTCAGCACATTTCATGTGAAAAGAGCACACAGAGCCAGCCTAAATGCAGTGGTGTTCACAGCACTGAAAGGCTTCTACAGATGCCATTTCTACAGACAGAACCTGAGTAAGGAGGAAAAAAAATTATTTTGTTTCTCCCTCTGTCCATTAAAGCATATCATCAATACAAGCAGTTAAGGACTGTTTCTTATTCAGTGGCTTTCTTCCCTTTGTTTGCTTCTGTAATAGTTTCTAAACGTTTCTCTGGTTTTATGTTAAGGAGCCAAGGGCTGTAAGAATTTTCATGCAACAAACCACAAATTCCACAATGCACATTCACACTTGACATGCCTCGCTGTCAGAGCCAGCAAACTGAGAAATGAGGGGAAAAAATGACACTGTGCTGTTTGATCTTTGCACTATGCTTATTCTAGCAGAGGACTTTTCAAATCCACACCTAGAGACAGTATCACTTCACCGCTCTGACTGGTCAAAGTGTAGAAGAGGAGCCTCTCTCAGAGTACTAAACAAGAGATGCATATCGTTGTAGTCTAATAATCATGTTATGTTCGGCTGATTCCAACGGGATGAGGTTCAACAAGGCCAAGTGCCGGGTCCTGCACTTTGGCCACAACAACCCCATGCAGCGCTACAGGCTGGGGACAGAGTGGCTGGAGAGCAGCCAGGCAGAGAGGGACCTGGGAGTTTGGATTGACAAGAAGCTGAACATGAGCCAGCAGTGCCCAGGTGGCCAAGAAGGCCAATGGCATCCTGGCCTGTATCAGGAACAGTGTGGCCAGCAGGGCCAGCAGGGAAGTGATTCTTCCCCTGTACTCAGCACTGGTGAGGCCACACCTCGAGTGCTGTGTCCAGTTCTGGGCCCCTCAGTTCAGGAAGGATATTGAGGTGCTGGAGCAGGTCCAGAGGAGGGCAACGAGGCTGGTGAAGGGACTCAAGCAGAAGTCCTATGAGGAGAGGCTGAGGGAGCTGGGGTTGTTCAGCCTGGAGAAGAGGAGGCTCAGGGGAGATCTCATCACTCTCTACAACTCCCTGAAAGGAGGTTGTAGCCACGTGGGGGTTGGTCTCTTTTCCCAGGCAACTATCAGCAAGACAAGAGGGCATGGTCTCAAGTTGTGCCAGGGGAGGTTTAGGTTAGATATTAGAAAGAATTTCTTTATAGAGAGGGTGGTCAAACACTGGAATGGGCTGCTAAAGGAAGTAGTGGATTCTCCGTCCCTGGAGGTTTTCAAGAAGAGACTGGATGTGGCACTTAGTGCCATGGTCTAGTAACCGCAGCAGTAGTGGATCAAGGGTTGGACTTGATCTTGGAGGTCCCTTCCAACCTGGCAGATTCTACGATTCTATGAAGCACACCAGAGATACATAATGCTTTTTTCACATTCAGGCAATTTGAAAATTCTGTGCATTTGCCATGAGTGCTTCAGTATCATGAATTCAGTCAGATCATTCCCTGACCTTTCTAAAACTAAAGCCCAGGCAAATTGCTACAGTCCCTTGCCCTTTAGATAATATATTTAGACTGCAGCAAGGTTTCCACTTTATTTTTTTTTACATGTATCATTTCAAGCAATTATCCAAAATCAGAAAATGCACCATCTGGAACACAGTTTGCCTAATTGGTGTTCCCTTGCCTGTGGCACTCATGAATCATGTGTTTTGTGATAAGTGTTCACAATTGGATTTTATGTGCATAGTACCTAGGAAGATTCTTTTACACTTGTATCATTAAAATTTGTAGGGTCTATTGGAATGAAGGCGAGCCTGATGAATTATAAATTTCTTAACACTACACAGTTTAGACTTAATGTCCCAAATTCTGTGAAGAAATGATGTTCAAAAGGTTTCTTCTTGTTTTTCCATGTCGAACTCTAACGATAGCCTTATAAAATAGAAAGAATAAGTAGGTAGAATTAAAAGATTTACTATAGTTTTTAATATTCTCATTTAGACCAAGGATTTTGCCACAGATATAGATATATCTGTATTTCTAACTATATCTAACAGATCTAAATAGGCACCTAGACTTATATCTGGCATGCATATATTAATACAACAGCTAAACCTATATCTACAGTCTCTATTATTGGTGTTACTAGTTCACCTAAATATTTTAATCCTGAGTATCTAGGGCACTGGAATGAACTCATTCCAATGAAAGCTGATACCACCTGAAGAAAATGCAGTTCTGGATTTTGAGGAAAAAGAACACACTTCTTTCTACATTTTAATTTTATGCTTGATAAAATTTTCAGGGGAAAAAAAAAAAAAGAAAATTAAAGTGATCCTTTGTAGAGAGCTCGGAAAATCAGCCTTGACTCTAATGTATAAGCTGTTGGTCATTAATCTTCCTTAATGCTTTCACTGTGATGAGTGTGGAATTTGACCAGAACCTGGAACTTAAGCACCACAGCCCTTTTTTTTTTCTTTTTTTTTCTTTTTTTCTTTTTTCTTTTTTTTTTATTTCTGGAATTCTTCACGCTATGAAGATTTAATGACTTTTTCAATGTGCTTCTGTCTTTTGCCATCTAGGGAGACTGAGACAAATAGGTATGTGAAACTGCAAGGCATATCAATAAATGAATCAATGAATTTTCACCATTCTGAAGCTAAAAGCATAGGAATATCAGTATACAGGAAACTATTTGAAAAAATATTTTAAGCATATTAAGAATACTTAACAGCCCACACCAACTTTGATATACTACAAAAGGACAATGCTATAATTTATTTATTGTTAAAACAGCAAAAATAGCCCTAAGACGTTTTAGCAAGTGAGTTTTAAAAAAAGTTTTAAATTTTAAAATTCAAGGAGATAAAATTGGGAAAAAGACACAACGCAAAAAGTTGACTTTGGAAGGTTATGGCTTGCATCATATGTTTTCTCTATAGTGAATTATATACTTTCCTTCCAGAGAATTTTTTAAATTTTAAATTATGCCATTACTCTTAAGCTTACAGGCTTATGACTTTTTAGATTTTGTTTGTTTCTTCTTTGCAAAATTTTTTCAACATTCAAAGTTCTTTTGGTAGGGAAGGGGTCTTATTCATAAAATTTGACATGAATTTTTGCATACTTGTCAAAATAAAATCTGGTCTTGTTCTTTTAGAGAGGTTTTCTATTATTTTGAAGTCCTGAATTTTCATTTGATAGGGGAAGCTTTACAATTTACCAAGCAATGTTTCCTCACAAAAGCTAGAATCCTATGCATGGGATAGAAATAAGACAATAGAAATAAAATACTACAATTTTAACCACAGGAAAAATAAAAAAAATAATAACTATCAGCAGAATAAATTTAAAAGCATAGTTAGCATGGGCAAAAAAGAGTTTGAGGAGCAGCCAGATACAGGGATCAAAAATAGTTCTAAATCCTTTGTCTAACACCTCAGAAAAAAAGAGCCCAACAAAGTGTTTATAATGCTAAAGACAGTCCTGAGAAAAGATAAGATAACTGCAAAGAAGCTAAGTGAATTCTCTGAATTGGCTCTCTGAGGAAGAAACCATGGAGGTCCTAACCTGGGAATCCTTCTACAGAAGAGAGTACACACAGGCCAAGCAAAGGATAGCACACCACCAAAGCCAGACAGCACTCACCGGGAATCTTTAACAGAACCAACAATGAAATATCAAAATTATGTGTGTAGCATGTGTTATATATGGATGTAAACCTATCCATATAGAAATACAGTTCAGAGCAGAGACGGAGGCTTGCTTTCCCTCTAAGCTTATAATTAAACTCAATTTTGGCTAGGTGGAGTTCAGTGTCCTTTTCATTTTTGTGGAATCTCACAAGCAATCTTCTTTGGGCTCCTCACAGGAACAGCACATCTCACCTTTTCTTTCCAGCCAGCTCCCTTGGACTGCCCTAGTCTTCCTCCTGCTCACTCAGCTCTCCACAACTTCTGTATCTGGAAAAGCAGCAGAATGGTGTCACAGCTTCTCGCTCCTTGTTCCTTGACTTTTAGTTCTCATCACATTACTTAGTTTGACGTCACTAACTACATGCACACACAAAAACAGGACAAGGCTCCTCTGCAGCAAACATTAATGTTGCAGAAAACTGTAATCTCATAGCCTTTTCATTCCAGTCTTAATAATCTTTCAAAGCTCTGTTAAAAGGCAGCTTGTTATATTAGAATTCCTGTATCTCTCTTTTCTTTCAGCTGTCCTCTGCATATACTATATGCTAGCCAACATTTAAATAACTAAGGGCAAATTACAGTATTTCTTCTTAAATAAGTAGTGGAATATAGTCCTGCTAAAACTATAGAAACGACTTACAAATTAGGAGCACATTTCTCAGTGTGGATGGTCATAATTACTAGATTATATATTGAAAAAGAATATATGCATGCATAGCACAAACTGTAGAAAGCATCAGTGCAAAACTATCCTTAACATCATATATCTGTTTTTAAGCAATACATTTTTTCTGAAAACAGTAGTTCTTAAGCTCAGTAGTCTTCTAAGTGCTGAGCATTTCAATAATTTTTATTATGAATAATGTAATACTATTAGTAATTATTTTTCATAAGAAGAAAATAAAAACAATTTTCTTCCTTCTTCAGCAGCTGTACAAACTACTCTCACTCAGCAGAGAAAGGAAAAAACAAATCCTAGGATATAAGTGGCCTTTCAAATAATTATAGCATCTGCATAGTCAGTACTTTGAGATTTGACAGCAAGGAGATACTCAAGGACAGAGCTATTTGTTGCACACATAATGGCAAAGTTAAGCTCTTCACATAGAACAAAGCATCTTTGAAATGCAGGATTATAAATACGAGAAACAGAAAACAAACAGGGCAAGGCAAATACAAATTTTGCATGCACACAAATTATTATTATTTTCTGTCCCACACTTTACACATATTGCAGAACATCAATGCATTGTCCTTCAGATCCCAGCCTTGTTAGTCTTCCAAAAGTCTGACAAAAATTATTTTGTTACTTCATAATTTCTCTAGCATTCTTTGCTTTCAGTTATTCTCAGCTTCAACTATCTTGCCAGCCACCAGTTAAATGAATTGCAATTCTCTTGCTTGTCTTTTAAGTGAATTATGAGGGTTAACAAAAAAAAAAAAAAAAAAAAAAAAAAAAAAAAAAAAAACAAAACACAACCAAAAAAAAAAACAACCCTTACAGTTGCA